GGGAGGCTATTGCTCCTTCGCTGGCTCTTCAGATCTTCCGCTTCACCAACGCCCCGGCCGACATGCTACCAGTCTTCGAGTCCAAGCTCGCCTCGCACGTCTGCGACATCAACAGCCCCCTCTTCCAAGAGGTTGAGCAGCACTTCCACCACAGACTCCTCACGGAGCTGCAAAAGCGAGTCCGGGAGTACCGTGGTCTGACGGGAGTTGGCCTCTTCTCGGTGGCCACTGGCGGCCGCGCTCACGGCGCAGGGCGGTCATGGAGCAGCAGCCCGGATCGCGAGGGTTCCGTCTCTGACAAGAACAATAGCAACCGGGAGTCTCGTGACGACGGTGGTATCGAGGACATGGCGACTCGCTTGGCACATCTCGGCATTCTTCACTGGAGAGTCTTTGCCGGCCTTGCATACACTGAAGACGAACAGGCCGACAGTCTGATGGAGATGAATCAGTTCTAGGGCACACAACAACTAGGTCCCAGGACACCAATCTCATTAATGAGGGAGATGCTGGCAGCAAGACGAACCAGCAAACCCGACACGCCCACGCAGGGGGGCTTATCTATTATGTCTGGCTGAAACAATACCCCTTTTTACAGTATTTTAATCTTGCATTTCTCCGCTTTTTCTCGCAAGACTCTTTTTTGGCTACGAGGGGTTTACGGAACCTTAGACGGTGTTTGGGGATTCAATACATCGAGCTCGCGCTTTTTGCCGCGTTGACTAGTTGGGTAGGCGTTGCATGGGGAGGCGGTCACATCCAGATACATAGCGCACGCTTCTTTTTCTTTTTTTCTTCTTTTCTATCGCATTGCAGAGACAGAAAATAAGAGCCCTATTGTCATTCAAGGCCAAGGTCACATTCGTCGGATTTGATCATATCTGTGATATGCAGAGGCACCATCCCAGACGTGCGACGTCTGCTTAATCGTTGACCATGACATGGGCAACCCAACCCGCCTTGCCCCCCATGGGTGTTTCAGCCGATGTAGCAATTGACCAAGCAAATCTCACCGTTGTCGTGCAGACGACGAGAAAAGGGTGTGTGGGTGGCGTAAGTAGAAGCAAACCACAAGCCGTACGCCGTTGCATGATGACAGACCCGACAGACGAGTTTGAGGTATAAGCAGCCACACCGTCTCTTCTGATGCATGATGTTTTATGGGGGTCGTGGGAGGGATGGCGTTGTTTGGTTTTTTGTTTTTTTTGGCAAAAGGCATTTGCGGGAGGTGAGGGGTTCGTTTCTTTGGCTATTTTTGCCATTCCACCTATATATCCGGTTTTTTATGTTGTAGCCACGCATTCCGGGAGATGGGGGGAGGAACCACGCGCGGGTTTCATGCACGAAGTAGGACCTTTTCGGAAGAGAACGCACAATGGGACGCCTTTCCGGCCGCAGAGGAGAGGCCGGGTGAAGAGAACTCTGCTTGCCGTGGTCTTAATTGGGGAAGATTACTCTCTGCCATAGCCCGATCATTAAATACTGGCCATCCCACCTAGAGCTTCAGGATGACTCACCTGCATTCAGGGCAGTTAGTGTTCTGCCTATTGGCTGAGGCGTCACCTCGTAAAACTACTCACTTAAATTGTCGTCTGTACGAGCTTTTACCCAGGCACTGTTTGACGAAATCAGCTGGCTATGTCACGCTGAGCATCCCGTATATGGTCCAACCCGGGTAAAAGAGGGGAGGCAGTAAGATTTGGGGCCTACTCACTCTTGCTCTCCTAGCAAATAATCATGACCGGTGCTCCCTTCGGTCAAATAGATGTCAGTCTATCTCCCACCCACGCCACGATAGGACGGGCCCCTCCTAGATTGTCTGTCCCCTATCTAAATCTATAGGAGCTCGCCGACTCCCCATAGAGATCGCAATAACGGTAATGGAGTACAGGCCAACCAGGGGGGGGGGGGGGGGGGTTCAAAAGGATCGGTCCTGAGTGGCATCCTAATCCATCTTCCTGGTTTTTCTTCTTTGGGGTTTTTTTTTCTATCTCTCTTTCTTTCTTGGTTTCCATTCCGCATGTATCACTGTCCCTTTGGCTCAACATCTCGAACTCGCCGCGCGCGCCGCGCGGCATTGGTCACAAGGTACCAGATGTGCGGTATGCTTTCGGCACCTCCACCTCCTCCCATCGGGGCCAGGCCCGGTTATGACACGACGACGTTGCGCGCCCCTTGCGTCAAGCCTATCGCTATGGGACGACGGCTCCCCACCACCCCCTGTGCTGGATCCGCGTAGAAGGGCACGGGATGCGTGTCCTTTCTCAGGTATTCCCTGCCGGCGCCCGTTCGGCCTGCCCAAGAGGCTGCCGTCGATGGCATCGCCCCGGCAGGACAGCGAACACGGACAGCGAACACGGAAGAAGACGCATTACGATGCCAGGGGTGGGGAGGGGTCGAGTTGGTGTTAGTTAAACGCCCTGCTGGTCCCCCTCCCCCCGCCGACGCCGACCTCTGCCTCTCCATCGTATTCGCACCCCTCGTATTATCGCGTGAGCCAGCAAACGGGGATGCGGGGCGGTGGACCGCGTATGTACGTGGGGGAAGCCGGCCCGGGTTAAGATCAAGAGACAAGAGACGAGTCATTTGTTCACATGGCGGGGAGGGGGGAGGGGGCCAGCCGTTTGGCAGGACGGCACCGACCCCCGTCTTCCCCGGACGGGGGGCCCCGTTGCGCCGGCGAAGCCCACTCTTCCGGACGCACACACATAGTGCATGTATGATAAGTCGCGACAGGGCGCGATGTTAACGTTGTGGAAAAGGAGGCGGTCTCCGCTGCTCACGTGCAGACGTGGGGATGCTCCTCTGCCGGACTGTCTGTGTATCCCTAACAGAAAGGGCCAAGCCCGGCTTTTCGGGGTCGTACGTAAACATTATTACTTGGAGGCTCTCGCTACCGGCAACAGCCATAGTTCCTATTTTTGGAAAGCGTGAACTTTTGAAAGGCTCACGATTTGGCCTCCTGGTCGGGCAGTGCCGGGGTTCTCTGGCATCGAGGAGGCTGCGCGAGGCCGATGACTTTTTATGGATGTTTCCTTTGCGGCCTCGTCGCCCGCCGTGCCTTTAGAACTGGCGATGCCCGAGCGGCCACCGGGAAACGTTGTGTCGGCCTGGAAGCTATAGTTTTACATGGGTCTAGGCTTCCCGGCTCTGTGGATGTGGTGACAAGCTGATGCTATGCAGGCATGAAATGGTCAGTACTCGAAGCCGTGAATGCTTTCTCTCTTTGCGGCAGTTGCAGGAGGGTTGCTGGGGGGGGGGGGGGGGGGGCGTGTTGTCCGTCATTCCTGAGGGGCACGGGACAAGTGAGTACAAAGGCAGTTTTCTCCTGTGGTTGGGAAATGTGTGTGTATGTAAGGAGTAGACCTCGCTGCTTGTCACCTTCGTCATTCTCTCCCGTCGTCGTATACACACCTAGAGATATCTGCCTCAATAGTCTAGTCTGCCGACAAGGCCGACGTCTAGATGTATCAGCGCGTTGTCATTGGTACTGATTAGGAAGTCCTGACATTTCCTGACCTCTTCCTCTGACCAGGTAGTTACGGGCTCTTAACTAGGCGGTGATATATCTTAGTAGACACGGGGGCTTGAGGGGTCAGGCTTCACAAAGGACTTGTACCGTTGTGTCAGCTGTTGCGTCTTCTTCTCTTCTTGTTTATGCGGGCGGGATTGTGCGATAGTCCTTGTAGCATTTGTGAAGGCGGCGTTGGACTGCTGCTGCTGTAAGGCAATACCCATCAGGGGACGGGGGATTGCCATACACAAAACCCCTGACCATCATTGTTGCTTCAATCAGCCTTTTGGAAATAATGTGAGCATCGGTCGTACACGTCTGAAGGTGAAAAGTACATGGAAAAGTGCAGAGTTGGAAGATTGGAAGCCATTATCACCATTTTTCCCAAGCGAGAAACCATATGATGTTACCAGAAGACCAGCAGTGAATATATCTTTCCAAGGTGAGAGGCATATTCGCCAGGCTATTCAAGACCCGTACACGGTGAGGCTTCGCTCGAAGTCGTCGACGATCTCGTTGGGGAGAATGACAACATCGGGTTTACAACCATAGTGAAACGATCTACCTTATGTCGAGATGCGCCTAGTATCGATATGCGCTGAAGACAAGTAGAACGGAATGCCAGAGTTACAACTACAAGGATACATCCGTTAGTTTACTGGAGTCGGGGAATCTTTGTCTACGCCGCGCGTGACTGGACAGCTGCAGAAGCTACACCGTGTTGTTCGAGGACCGAGCCAGGATACGTTGGTTTTGTGCAGTCCGAGTTGCGCAATTTCATTATAGTCATAACCGAAATACCTCCGAGAAACGAGATACTACCGAGCTTGCCCCATATATTGGATGTTTCCCGAAAACCCAACCTCCGCCAAACGAAGCAGGACTCGCCAGGTTACCGTGGGCCACTTCTGGACTCTCAGGGGGGGCTGCATTGCGCGGCGAGATGCATATTACTGGAAAGCAAGGTCCGCCCTGAAGTGAGAAGAAGGCTAATTGACAAGTTCTGTTCACTGAACTGCTGGATCGCCCCTGACTCTTGATAGCCGTACAGTTCTGAGCAGAAGGGAGGGGCTCCCAAGGGCCAGTCTCCCAGGAGTTTCTTTTGCAGGACCAGGGCTGGCCAGAGGCGATGCCCCTACGTTAAAGGAGCTAGCCTGGCGACTCCCGCCATCTTCGGGCAGTGGTAGCATGTCCTTCTCAAATGTAGGAAATGTCAACATGAGCGCCCGACGGGAAGTGATGGGCACAGCCTTCACAGGTGAGGTGAATTTCTTGAATTATTTTCAGGCCGCCAAATTAGAACGGCATGTCCCCTCGGTCTCTCGAATTTTGTGATACGGGCCTCGTCGGCCCGGGCATATCTCCGTCGTTGCGCCATGCGCTGCTCCCGTCTAACAAAGCAATATTCATTTCCCTGACCAACTCCAAAATATGTAACAAGGCCCCGGCAGAGGGGTCGCGCGCGGTCGTGCAAACGAGAAAAAGCTTAGCTGATGAGCAAGGAAACCTGTCGTATCTTGTCAGCAACGCGCTTGGGGAGACCGAGGCGAGAGAGACTTGCCGCCATGACGACACAGCATAAGCTGATATACGGACTTAACCGCTCGCCCACCCTTGCGAATTTCCAGAATATACCCACGAAGCTATCGTGAGGTCAGCGGCCGTGTCTGCATACCGGGTTGCCCATGGCTGGAGTGCCCTTACCCGTCCTTGTTCCGGTCCATGATGGCAGGTATGAGCTGGTGGAGGTATGCGCACGTGCAGGTGAGCAGGAGGATGACGAGGAGAAGCGACTGAAAGTTGAAAATAGCTGTCTGTATCTCGCGTTAGCACTGCTAGCTGCTCTCTCTGAGATCTCGCGCTGCGCGACATACCATGGTTGCGGCTGTTGTCCCTTTCGGCGGGGCACTGGCGACTCTCGGGTGTAAATGGACAAGCTAGATTGAAGGTGGCGATATAATAGTAGGCCCAGGGGTTCGGTCGACTTCAGCCTCTCGCCAATGGACAAGGTGGCCCGGAGAACGTTCAAGCCACGTGTGGCCCGAGCTGGGAGCTTCCCACCCGCCTTCAGCCACGTTTTACCAGGCAGGCGCCACCCCCACAGTCAGCACTTGAGGCTGAATGGGTGGGTTGATAAGATAAGGTAAGCTGCTTCTCCCCTGTGCGACGTGATCTATGGATCGCGGCCTTGGGCGATCTTTCTTGCATGACCTATCTATTTTCAACCTCAGCTCGCGACCGGGACCCGTCACCCCCCAACTTCTATCCGTGAGACTCTAGCCAGCTGTTTTCCGCATCTCGTCAGAGAAAAATATACCCACCCCAGCGAGACGTTGCCGACCTCTGCCACGCACTCTTGAATCAACTCTGCCCGCCATGGAGCCTCGCGCCCGCGCCGCCAAAAATGTTGGCAAGATGAACTTCAGCCACAACGAGCGTACGTTCCTTGCGTGCCCACGCGGAGAGAGCCGGAGGAACCAAGGCTAACCCCCTACAAGTGGCACAGCTCCTCTATGCCCACGGCGACGTCCGCAACCCGCTGCCCGAGACGATCCGCGTGCTCGATGAGATTGTGACCGAGTTCATCCAGGGTATGGCCTTTGAGGCGACGCGCGCTGCCAACTACGCGGGTCGCCAAAAGGTCAAGTACGAAGATTTCGAGTTCGCGTTCCGCAAGAACGACGCGTTCCTCGGCAAGGTGCAGGAAGTCTTTGAGAAGAAGGGCGAGATCGAGTCGGCCAAAAAGATCTTCACAAAGGATGACGAGGCCGTGCTCATGAAGGACGCGGCGGACCAGGAGCACAAGAAGGACAAGCCGGCGAACGGGACGGGCGAGCCCCCCACGGCAGCGGAGGCGGCGGCGAAGCAGGAGGAGGAGCTGGGCGAGGCGGACGACGACGCCGACGCCGAGAGCGAGGTTGCGGGACGGCCGGCGAAGAGGGTCCGGCTCGACGGGGAGGGGAAATGAGTCGCGAAGCGCCGCGAAAGGGCGGACGCGAACGGTAAAGGTGTTTTTCTATTGGGTTCACGGCATAGCGACTCGGCGTTTTTTCTCTTTCTCTTATTTCTTTTCTTTTGGATGACCGACATCGGGCATTGGTTTAGAGGGTCCCGTCACGGACAAGGCTGGGAAAAGGGAACACGATCATGAGAATGACAATATAATTAATATCAGAGGGCCTCCACTGCAAAGCGCGTCGAGAACTTTTCGCAGCGTGATTCGTGATCTCGCCAGAATAGAGGTAGGTAGTGCTGCGAAAGTAGGCCGATATTTGCGGAGCCCAACCGGGCAAGCAACACTGCGTTCTCGTCACCAGGAGGTTCCGGCTACCGGCGACGGTGGAGGTATGTCAGACTGCACCTGTGTTTCACTGGAGGAACACATCTGCGGCCTTGTAGGCTTTGAAACACGGGATCCTATCTTCAGTCAGAAAAGGTAACCTGCCTCGAGTCTGAGGCAGAGGGAGTGGTACGGTAGAAGAAGAAACGCGGGATTCCAACATTGCCGAATCGCCGCCGGGCCCCCACAGCTCTCGGGATTGGTGCGAGTGGGACCGTGCCGAGAAAGTGGACTGGCTCCTCTGGCTAACGACATCCGGCCCTTTTTACCACCGGCCGCATGACCCAGACCTTTTCCCAGCTTACTAGTTAGATGAAAGTCATGCGGTGCGATATCGGGGGAGGGGGCGGGCGACAACCAGAAATCATGCAGCAGCCCTTTCCCGCATCATCACATTGTTGCTGACCTCCGAGGGGGGGCGCCAGCGGGCGCTAGAGGTGCGGTGGTCGGTTGGTTGAGGTTGGTTCGCCCGCTGACGCTCTTAACTGCCGCTGGGCGTCTTCCTAAGCAGGCAAGCGGGTTGGGCCATGGCCATTCATTCGAAAGCCGGGGGGAATCCACTCCACCTGCAGCCCTTGTTGCGTCGCACTTCTGCACTCACTGGCTTTGGATCGTCCTCATATAGGTACTCTTTTTCGGCTTTCGTTGGTCTCTAGCACCTTCGCGCACCTTGACACCCCCACACATACAAGAAACTACCTAGCCAGACAGCAGAAGAGGGTAAGGGTGTGAAGACAATGGTGACGGATTACATATCCTACCTATCAAGTGGATGGCTTGCTCCTGTCCGCCTTCGGCCCTCCACGCGTCTTCCCCAGGCCCACCGTATCTCTACTCCAGCCTCCCCACTCCCCATGAACCATGGGGAGGAGGGGGGGAGGTCCCTTGGGTTCTGCACATGTTTTCGACTACACCTCGACTCTTGCCACGGCTGGAATTTTCTGCTTTCTCTTTCAAGTGACGAGTTGATATTGTCAAGAGTTTTACACTGAGAAATAGACCGTTGGTTCCTGCCGTTCTGCTTGTCGTCATCCCTAGATCCCAGCGCCACTTCGGCATTGCTTATACCGCCCTCGACCTTGGAGATATAGACATGACTTCACGCAGCCATTATGTCCGAACAGAAGCACAATGATGAAGCCCTCTCGGTCTCTCGGGACCCTGGGGCCAAGACGGAATTTGATGATACGTTGGAAACCACAGATGAAACCCACCGCAGGCTATCGGCAGACAGCAAGATGACCTGGCCACACGAACACGCCAAGGGTCTCGCGATACTGCCAGGTCCGGACTCCTTTGGGAGATTCTCCGCCAGTTCGTACCAGAGCGGGCGGACCTCGCCGTTACCAGGAACAAGCCATCCCCCACCAACGACACAGCCGCCCAAGCAGACGACAAAGCTGGCGCAGCTTTGGCTGGCAAACAAGGGTGTCATTTTGGTGGCCCTCTCACAACTTTTCGGCGCTCTGATGAACCTGACAGCACGACTCCTCGAACTCGAGGGCGAGGGCATGCACCCGCTCCAAGTCCTCTTCGCCAGGCAAAGCCTCACCATGGTCTGCTGCTGCGCCTACATGTACTACATGAAGACCCCCGACTTCCCCTTGGGCAAAAAGGAAATCAGGTGGCTCCTCGTCGCCAGAGGCGTGCTGGGTTTCTTCGGCATCTTTGGCATGTGGTACTCGATGATGTATCTGCCGCTCGCCGAGGCGACTGTCATCACATTCCTGGCCCCCAGCGTCGCCGGCTTCGCCTGCTACCTTGTCCTCCGCGAGCCCTTCACACGCAACGAGCAGATCGGTACCGTCATCGCATTCTTCGGCGTCGTCCTCATCGCCCACCCGACCTCGCTCTTCTCCGGCGACTCGGCGTCCACCGTGCCAGAACAGCTCGGCCCGGGCAACGGCACCGCGACCTTGGCGCTGCCTGGGCTGGACCACCAGACCACGACGACGGAGCGGCTGACGGCCATCGGGGTCGCAATCCTGGGCGTCTTCGGCGCCGCGGGCGTGTACACGACGATTCGGTGGATTGGGAAGCGCGCGCACCCGCTGATCTCCGTCAACTACTTTGCGGCGTCGAGCACCGTCGTTTGCACCATCGCGCTCACGGCCGCGCCGCTGCTCGATGTCGGTCAGCCCGTGCTGCGGTGGGGTCTGCCACAGACGGGCCGGCAGTGGCTCTTCATGGTGCTGCTGGGGATCTTCGGGTTCATCATGCAGTTCCTCATGACGGCAGGCCTACGCACGGATCGGTCCAACAGGGCGAATGCCATGGTGTACACGCACATGCTCTTCGCGGCGGCCTTCGACCGGTTTATTTTCGGGAACGTTATGGGGTGGATGAGTCTCGCCGGCTGCGGTCTCATCATCGGGAGCGCCTTATGGGTCGTCCTGACCAAGAAGACGCCCGTGCCTAAGAGGGGGGCCGTGGCGGACGTGGAGGTCGCGAACGTCCGGGATACCGAGGCCGTTCCGATGTTGGCAGATATGGACGATGGGAGGGACGAGGACTATGAGCTTCAGAGAGTGAGGTGAGGCCTCCTACATTACGGGCTATGATGCATAAAGGTGGTTTGCCGGGGATATAGACATTGGGCATGGGATCTTGGAAACTTGCACATAGGCAGCCCGGACTTCATGGGTACATGGTGAACGCCTAGTCGGATGTCCGCAACTCTCGGCATATTGTATCAGGATCCGTTCCAAGACTAAGGGGCAGACTTCTAAAGTGATATAAGCTGGTGTCGAGCATGCATCCTCTTGAAAGTGATGAGACGACGAGACACGTACACAATTCATGCCACTCGTGCAACGACAGCATCGCCGAGCAGAGAGAGGGTGCGGGATCCACCTCATGTGTGCAGCACGAGAGCTCGCTTCTGTCGAGTTTACCTGCTGCTATTTCACGATGACTTCCTCTATCTGCAAGGCATGGGATCGTTTTTTCAAAGGTGGCTTCGAAGAATCGACGCTAGAAAGGAGCATGCCAGTAGTAGCAGGCCTGATTCGGCGATGGTCTACAAAGCTATCCTCTACTGAACACATCAACTTTCTGGGGACGCGCTACAAGCTGTTACAAGGAGGCTTCCGGTTAGCATTGTGTGAGAGCCTCGTGAATATGCGATGCGCAAGGCAAGGAAGGTCTGGCGCAAGAACAAATGCTAGAATGCACGACATTAGGGTGAGGCTCGAGGCGACGAGTCCCTTCGTGTGGTGCTTGTGGACTAGCGCTTCACCATGTGGTTATAAGAAGTGGAAAGACGGCCCCGATTACCGTCCTGGCCTTCGGCTAAAGTTCTCATTCTGGTCGACTCAACGCGGAGGAGGACCCGTCCCAGTGTTGTTTGGAAATGACGAGGAAAACTTGTCGCCAACGCCACAATGGGGTGTGCGTCCAAGGGGCGGCTCTCCGAATTCCAGGCTGCAGGGCGCTGTTGGATGCCAAGTGCTGACGGGTTAAAAGAGGATCACGGTGAGACACGAGTCTCGACATTCCCGAACGCGGGAAGAGAGTCGCGATGAAATTGGCTTCTGAGTCAGACCAACCAAAGCATATGAAATTTGATGGTTGGATGACCCGTGATGGTCCGATGCTAGATTCTTTCCATGAGAAGGGCGACGCTTTGCGTAACAATGAACTGGTTCGCCGGAATATTCAAAGAAACATGAAAACACTGCGCGTTCTCTGTTCCGACGCGCGAAATTAGAAGGTACCGCCTCATCCCATGACCTCGGTCTCGGCAACGCCTTCCCGTATGAGATACGTTGTGGCTGCGGATGTGAAGACGGTCTGGACCCTTGGACAGGTTTCGAACGGGAATTCCAATAGATCTGATCGATAATTCACGGGAGCGGAATGAAGGGAAGATTATAGAGGGAAAAGAGAGAGAGAGAGAGAGAGAGAGAGAGAGAGAGAGAGAAAGGATGTTTTTCTCTTCTTTTCACAAGCTGCATTAGACCATGACGAGGAAGCCTAGTTCGGGTTGACGTTGGATGAGGCGCAAACGGGAAGCTATCGCCAGGTCACGTGTGGAGCGCCGGGGTGCCTAAAGTGCAGGTGCCGCGGCGCCTGCACTGTGCGGCCGTAGAGGTTTTGCAGGGATAGAGTGAGGCGCGTCGCCCCAAAATCTTCTGGAGCTTCATCCAAACCTGTCTAACACCTACCACACCCCCATCGCCAGCGAATAAACCACGACCACGACGAAATCGCCGACATTCCTATCACCTCCATCCCACACGATTGAATTGACGCGCTAAGAATTGACCGCCGTCAATCGACGCCCCCGCCGTGAAGATGGTCCAAATCAGCGAGGTCAAGGGAAACAGTCGCGAGAACCGCACGGCTGCCCACACTCACATCAAGGGCCTGGGACTGAAGCAGGATGGAACCGCAGAGAAGCAGGCGGCCGGATTCGTCGGCCAGACGACCGCGAGAGAGGTGCGTTGGATTCTCTGACGGATCTGTGCCTGTACGTACAAATAAGCAGCGACTGACTTGGCGTAACAGGCAGCCGGTGTTGTGGTTGACCTCATCCGAGCGCACAAGATGGCCGGCCGCGGCGTTTTGCTGGCAGGAGGGCCCGGCACGGGCAAGACGGCGGTCGCTCTCGCCATTAGCCAAGAGCTCGGAACCAAGATCCCCTTCTGTCCCATCGTCGGCAGCGAAATCTACTCGACAGAAGTGAAGAAGACGGAGATGTTGATGGAGAACTTCCGCCGCGCGATCGGCCTCAAGGTCCGGGAGACGAAGGAGGTGTACGAGGGTGAGGTTACGGAGCTCACGCCCGAGGAGGCCGAGAATCCTCTGGGCGGATACGGCAAGACCATCAGCACCCTGCTGATCGGCTTGAAGAGCGCAAAGGGCCAGAAGAAGCTCCGGTTAGACCCCAGCATATACGAGGCCATCCAGAAGGAGAGAGTGTCGGTGGGAGACGTCATCTACATTGAGGCGAACACGGGCGCCTGCAAGCGTGTGGGAAGGTCAGACGCCTATGCGACCGAGTTCGACCTCGAGGCCGAGGAGTACGTCCCCATTCCCAAGGGTGAGGTGCACAAGAAGAAGGAAATCGTCCAGGATGTGACACTCCACGACCTCGACGTTGCCAACTCGCGGCCCCAGGGCGGCCAGGATATTATGAGCATGATGGGCCAGCTGATGAAGCCCAAGATGACCGAGATCACGGACAAGCTGCGCGGAGAGATCAACAAGGTGGTGAGCAAGTACATTGACCAGGGCGTGGCCGAGCTCGTGCCCGGTGTGCTCTTCATCGATGAGGTAAGCAAAAAGTCGTTGTTGTTTGCCTGACGCGAACTGAGACTTGTGGATTAATCTTCAACAACAGGCGCACATGCTCGATGTCGAGTGTTTCACCTACCTGAACCGGGCCCTGGAATCGCCCATTTCGCCGATTGTTGTGTTGGCGTCAAACAGAGGAATGGCGACGATCCGCGGCACAGATGACATTATCGCGGCGCACGGTATTCCGACGGACTTTTTGGCCCGTCTGCTCATCATTCCAACCACGCCGTACCAGGCGGACGAGATCAAGCGTATTGTTCGGATCAGGGCGACGACGGAGGGTGTGCCCATCACCGACGCCGCCCTGGACAAGATCGCCGAGCATGGTGTCCGGATCAGCTTGCGGTACTGCCTGCAGCTGTTGACACCCGCCAGGTTAGTAAACAATCGCTGACCTCATCGCCCTCTACTTTCCACCGCCTTTCTCTTCATCTCCATGCTGTTTCTCCCTCCCCCCCCCTCCCTCTCTGTCGCGGATCGTGGGTCAAGCGGCTAGTGTGAGACATGGCAGGCTAACCCATTGAAAGCATTATCTCCAAGGCAAACGGTCGCAGCCAAATCGACGTTCAGGACGTGGCCGAGTGCGAGAGTCTCTTTTTGGACTCGCGGCGCAGTGCCAGCCTCTTGAGCGGCGAAAGCGGCAAAGGATACATCTCGTGAGAGGCACGGGGAAAGCATCATGGTTGGCTGAATTACGAGAAGAGGTTACGGTTCCCGACGGTTTCTTTAGGATGGCGGCGGCGTTGTAAAAGAGCTTGTCACATTTATCAAGACCAAAACAGGGTAATCCACGGAGTCTCTGTTGTGCGTGAGAGAGAGAGAGAGAGAGATCAAGATGGCGAGAGGACAGTATCCATCCTACTGGAGGGTACCAATCCAACCTGTCCAGCAACAATGCGGGATTCAACTGAACTGGAGGTGGGTGAGGTTGGCAAACGAGTGTGGTTAGACGACATGACGCCTCCGAGCTGTGAGCAAGGCAATGGCTTGCTTCCTTTCTAGTCGTCTATTTTGTTTTGTTTTCACGCTCGCTTTGGCTGGGCGTCCTAAGGATCGAAGAAGAGCTCGCTCGCTGTTTGCGAAGCAGAAACCGCGCCAAATGAGGATACAACGAAAAAGTACAATAAAAAGTTAGAGCCGCCCCATCCCGAGAGTTATAAGACATTTGTAGGCCGCGAACCAGAGAAAGAGAAAGAGAAGGGGGGGCAGGAGTGACAGTGATATGACCCAACGAGAGACATCCACAGGCGCCGCCCATGCCAATGCCGCATGCCCATTTTACCCCAACCACAGGGAACATGTCAATGTCACTCTTTCCCTCTTCCTTCACCGCGTCTTATTTCCCACCCTTTCCCACAAGTTCCCGTACCGAACGAACCCCGGTCCCCCCCCCGATTCCCCTTCCATCCAACCCCGTGCGTGCTCTGCGCGCCCGTCATTAGAGACAACCACAACGCCAAACACATTGTATTCTGCCGATCAAATTTTAAATCCCAGGTGTATATAACAAGTAGAAGAATGAAGCAGATGAATTCCGGCTCGAGGACTCGCTGAGGACTCACACTCCCTTGTCCCATCACGTGGACGATGTTCAACCAGCCTAGCCTATTTTCGGCCGGGGTAAGGAGGGGAGGAGGGGAGGGGAGGGGGGACGACCTTCTTACATTGTCTTTGTTCCTTTACCGGGGGCAAGCTCATGATTGAGCATTCCAGCGGTGGCGGAGGACAGTGTTCTCCTGCTTCTTCTTCTTCTCTTGCGTATTCATTCCTTCGTCGCCGTCTTTGATTCCCTCGGCACTGTTCCCCCCCTGGCCCTGGCCCTAGCTACACCTCTCCCCCCCCCCTCCCCGAGCGTCATTGTTTCTGCTGTCCCACCAGCGCTCCCCCATAGAGGAAGGGAGGCGGTTGGAACCTGAAGTCTGCAGTCGGTCTGCATCTTTCTTTGACGAGATGGGCTGGCCGAGGCAAGGAGAAGGGGAAGTAGAAGCAACAGCCGGGCGACGCGGGAGGGGGAGACTAGTAGCGGACGGCAGAGGCAGCGGCCGCTGCATTAGACCTCTTGAGGACATTGCATGCGGGAGCCAAAAAAACACAATGAAAAGCTTTGGGGGTTGGTCGCAACTCTCCCCGCCAAAGACAAGACTGAATTACCGATGACATGACGAGACCGACATGCCGAAAATAACGCCCCCGGGGGGGAGAGACCAGCGATGCTTTGAGCTGTAACCACCGCCTCCCTCCCTCGTTCTTCTTTCAACGGGAACAATCTCCTTTTCCCCCGCTCAACGAGACTTGAGACCAGGAGGGCGTGGATTCTTCAAAGTCGTCGATCCTCCCCCTTCCCCCCCAAGTCTCGTTGTTTTCTTGTCTTTTTGGGGGAGGGGCTTCCTTGTCACCCGTCTCGTCCGCTCTCCCCTTCGTCTCGCCCGACTCGTCCCTCCGCTTTTCTTCGTCCCCCCAAACCTCGGACTTGGACCCGGAAGCCCATCGTTGACTTTGTCCCTGAGCCGCGGGCGAGGAAGAAAGGCGTTTACCTCGTCCTGGCCCTTCCGTTATCCCACCCTATGCGAAGGGAAAAGGGCGACAGAGGCAGAAGACGGGGGCCCGCCGGCCACCAGAGAGGAACAAACGCTTCGTCACAAAGGAGCCCATTTTCCCCCATCTGCAATAAACTTGGGTGTCCGGTACATTCCCGAGACACATTCTCCCACCACCCAAGACTTGTCACTTTCCTCTCTCTCTCTCTTTCTCTCTCTCTCTCTCTCTTTCTCGCGTTTGGTTTGCCATTCTCGCCTCCAGTCTCTTCCTTCGTTTCTGTTCGTCCTCTCCGCCTCTCCCTTTGCTCACCTCCCGGGAGCCGTCTCCCTCTTTCGTCTCTAGGAGCGATATCTGTTCGTTGCTGGTTGTCTGTTCGTCACCGCCGCCGCTAGAGCATCATACCGTCCTGCCACCCTAATGTCACTTCCTCTCCTATAATGGCCACCCGCATCTTTGAGCATAAGGTCATTGAGCTGAACGGTCATTGTCTGCTCGGTTTCTGCTGAAAGGCCGGCCGTCATCTCGATATCACAAAACGGGGAGGGGAAAACATCGGAGCGGACAATCAACCCTGGAGTAGAAGGGGATTTCTCGGACCCTTCTCGTCTTGTTCCAGTTCCCACCTCGATATACTGCTCCATCTGTCTCTCCCACTCCTCCCAAAATCCCTACTGCTCCCCCCGTTCGTCCAAGTCCACGACTTGATCATTCTTGCCAGCACACTCCCATAACCCAACCTTAGCAACCCGCCGTACTTGTGTCTCTCGCCGTCTACAACACACACGCCCCCCCCCCCCCCCCTCCCCGTCCTCCACCCGTTTCTTCAAACGCCCCCTTCCGAGGCATGGTGTAAGTCCCAGCGTCGCATAGCTTGGCCACATCGCCCACCTTCTTGTCGTTGTCACCGCACACCCGTTTGCACCTTCGCCCAACCCCCTACCGCACCAAGAATGGCGGATGTGGTTTCTACTCCTCGACCGCGGCGGTCGACTTCTTCCTCCGGGGGCAACTCTGCCCACTCGGTCATGGAACGAAGGACAAGTGAGGAGACGGACGAAGGACCGGACTCTGTAGGCTCTGCAGGCAGTCGCGCGAGCAGAAAGCGCGCGGCTTCCATCGACATCGAGGAAGCGAATAGCTCGAGAGGGAGAGAATTCAGCTTGGAGAGCGGTCCGACGGGTAGCGAGAGCGGCAAGGACTACATCTGTCTCTGCACGCCTGCCCTCAAGGTTCCAAGACCTCGTAACGGTCAGTCTCACACTCTTTTCTCTTCGCTTGTCCAACTTGGCCAGAGGTCCTCGTCGCAGACGTGGTTCGAGATGCCTTCGAAGACCTCTCCTTTGTCGAGTGATTCAAAACAGACAGCTGGACACTTGTGGAAACCCTGTCGGCTGACATCCTTCTTTGATAGCCTTCATTCTGTACAGACAGCACCACCAAGCACAGGTTATTGCTCAGCACCCAGGTCTTTCTAACCCGGAAATCTCCAAAATCATAGGAGAGCAGTGGAGGATACAGCCTGACGACGTCAAGGAAAGTTGGAAGAAACTCGCGGAAGAAGAGAAAATTCGGCATCAACGCCAATACCCGGACTACCGTTACCAGCCTCGACGCGGCGGCAGGCCAGGAAGCCGGCCGAGCCTATCGTCTGGGGCCGATACGGGTCGGTGCTCCAAGTGCGGCGGCAGATTCATCGCGACTCCGAGAACACCAACAACGCCGTTTGGAACGCCGACCGCCGCGAAATCCAACATGTCCCCCCCTCACCCGAGAGATGGTCGTGACGGCGACGGTGACCACCACCGGCACACCTTGCCCGGTGCGAAGCAACAGTACCAGTTTCAACCCAACAACCTGCGAGACGTGGAAGAAGAATACGAATCCATGTCGCCGTCCCTGGAGCTCAAACGGCGCCGGTTCAACGGAATGGGGCACTACCAGGCCGTCTCGTCCCCAGGGCCCTACACGGGCCATCCCTTGTCGAGGCAACCTAGATCGTCGCTGAGCATGCCTCCCACACCGCCACTAGCGGGTTACGGGCCGCTGCCCGGCCCTTCAGCACTTGCGAGGACCGGGAACATGGCGCCTCCTCCGCGACCCCATCATCCTGCGTACGCAGGACCGAGCCGCGGTCCCGGTTTCGACGAGAGCCTCCGCCTGCCCCCGCTGCAAACCCAGACATCTCCGCCGTTTAACAGAGAAAACGACGCAAACGACCGCCCGAGCGCCCACCCCGCTACTGGTCTGGGCATCACCAACCCGCGGGATAGCTACGCCCAAAGCCTCGAGGCCATGATCATGACGATTCCTTTTTTGAGCAAGCTAAAGGTGCTGCAGAAAATCAGCCCAACGCTAACCCCGCCAGGACCATCCAGCCCGGACATGGAGGTTCGCGGAGCAGTAATTGCCGTCGAGGGGGCCGACGCCCGGCAGCTGGAGCAGGTGGGAACGGCTATTCACCGATCCCTCCTTGGCCTGGCCGAAATCGACTTGAAAACGTGGAGCGACGGACCAAACATGGCGGCGCCTATCTTGTCAGCCGAGGAAGTCGCGAATATGAACGATACGGCGTCTGTTGGGAGCAGCAGGAAAAGCAGCCACTCGCAACCCAGCTTGCAAACATCCGAGCTCTTCGCCAACTACATGCAGACCATGATGAAGTGGCACGGGAAGTCGCGGGAGATTGTCAAGCACGTGTCCACGAGGCCGGTATCTGGACTGAGCGGGTCGCCTCTCACGAGGCGAGCATCGGACGGGGATGCTGGCGGATTCGGGCAGAGTTCGGTATCGTTGCCCGGCACAGACAAGACGCCGATCGCCCTGCTCCCTGCAGGATTCAGCTTGTCCATTTCTGACAAGTATGCTTGCATGATACCCATTGCGGATTCGTACGCCCCGGTCGACCACTGGCAGTGGATGTCGACTCTATGGAGAGGAATCGTTGGACCAGACCTCGTCATCTACGTCAAGTCGGTGGTGGAGGACGAGGTCACCCGCGCAGGCGCTGTCGAGTTCAGAGGTCCCGGCGTGATGGTGGTCAGGATTGCGCATAATAAGTCTCTGGACGAGAAGACCGAGCGACGCATCTCCTTTGAAGTAGTGGAGTGGATTAGAGGCGGTAGTTACCAGGAGGGATTCGGACGAAGTTGACAAAAGCCCACGTAGTAATGTGACGATGTAGCGGGGGATGAGTGTTGGATTTCATAATTTCCTTTGCACCGAGGTGGCTGAAATAGCCACTTGTTTTCTCTTTACATAGCGTAGGCGTAGATAGGTGGGAAAACACAGAGCATCAATGACTTGAGTCAACTCCCGGGTTGCTGGTGTCTGCGCATGAGTGAGTGCCTATTAAGGTTGCTTATGAGTTGAGAGCTATCGATACCCAGTACGATGAGTGAGGGGAACAAATCACACTGAGTACTTGGGAAACATATGCACAATGATTTTCGACGGTCTTTGCACTGAGACGATGAGACAATGCCGCTGTGTGGTGTGGATCTTTGCGAGTTTGTTTGCTTTGTGTTATGTGGCGGTATTGTTGTTGTTGTTGACGGTGTATGAAGTTATGCAGATACTCAAGTTGTGCTTATGCTCATACAGTGTACACTATCCGTACCTGGTAGGTAGTGATGGACCCTGAAATGCGAGGCACCCACAGACCAATCAGGCACGAGCGAGTTTCAATTGACATCACCTCTCCCTCCCCCCCCCCCCCTGTCAGAGTTAGTTGCAGGTACGTAGTGTAGCAACGCACCGCTGCAAGCTCCAAGCACCAGCGCGTTTATCCGACTGGACGCGCTTCCAGCGGCCCCCTAAGTGACATCCAAACACGACCCGACATAGACATCACGTATCACCACCACAACGTAGCCTCAACGACTGGCTCAACGCCCACGACAGCCGACAGCAATTACGAACATGGTTATCTCCCAATAAGAAATACAGCCGAGAAAGAATGTCGGACCTAGCACCTGGCCAGACGGTGCGTCTGTCTGATGGCCGGACTGGTATCGTGCGCTTCGTCGGCGGCACGCACTTCGCCAGCGGCGACTGGGTCGGCGTCGAGCTCGAGGATGACAGCGGGAAGAACGATGGCAGCGTTCAGGGAGAGCGCTACTTTGACTGCGACATGGGACACGGCATGTTTGTGCGCCCGACGACGTTGGTCATCACCGCCCAGGCCCCCGCGGCGGCGCCGAAGCCCGCTCGCAGGCCCAGTCGGCCGAGCAGCTTCAACCCGGGCTCGGGACGGACGGCCAGCGATGCGGGATTGGTGAAGAGAATGAGCCTCAATGCCCCGAGTCCGAGTCCGGGGCCTAAAACGCCACGGCCGCCGAGCACACTGAGGGTGAGTACGCAACCTGCTTCATGCTAGGGGCAACGAGTAACGATGGACGCATATTCGTAGTCACCGACCAAGTCACCCACAAAACAGCTCGGATCAACAACTTCGAGTACTGCGCCGTCACGCACTAACACACCCTCCACCACCCGTACACCGACCGCCGGGGCTAAGGCACGGCCCGGCGTGGGTCCATCTCGCACATCCATGGGCCCTCCAGCAATGCCCGCATCCAGAGCCACTCGACAGCCCTCGGCATCTTCGGCACCGACAAGACCGACCCCAGGGCGACCTACGAGCGGTCGGCTTTCCATGACTGGGCGGACAACCTCTGCCAGACGACCGTCTGCTGACTTGGCTGGGGACGACGATACGATGTCACCTAATAAGGATGGCGAGAATAGCCCTGTGAGAGCCAGGACGAAAGCCCTCGAGAAGCTTACGTCAGGCTCGGCGGCAACCACGCCCGCAAGCTCTACTAAACCCGCGACAACCGCCCGTCCTACGACAAACGCCGCCGCCGCAAATAGAGAGATCGAGGATCTGAAAGCAAAGCTCAAAGTGCTCGAGAGAAAGAGGTTAGAAGATAGAGAGAAGATTAAGCAGCTGGACCAGGTCCAAGGCGAGCGGGACAGGTTCCAGTCAATTATAGAGAAGCTGCAGGCCAAGTATCAGCCCCAGCAGACTGAGAATAATGAGTTGCGGAAACAGCTGAAGGAGGCCGAGGAGAGGTTCGAATCCATCGAGGCGATGCAGATGGAGCACGAGACGGCCCTGGAGCTCGCGACGCTGGACCGTGAGATGGCCGAAGAGACCGCCGAGGTCCTTAAAGTCGAACTCGAGGCTCTGAAGCAGAAGTCAGAAGAGCTGGAGCTCGAGGTCGAGATTCTTCGTGAGGAGAATGCAGAGTTTGAACAGGGCATGTCGTCGGAAGAGCGTGCCAGCACCGGCTGGCTGCAAATGGAGAGGACCAACGAGCGGCTCCGCGAAGCGCTGCTGCGGCTGCGCGACCTGACACAGCAGCAAGAGGAGGAGCTGAGGGACCAGATCAAGACTCTGGAGGAGGACCTGAAGGAGTTTGGCACCGTCAAGGAGCAGTTTGCGACAGCGAAGGACAAGCTGGCCCAGTCCGAGGCAGCCGTCGAGGACCTCCGACAGCAGCTGGACAACGCTCTGGGTGCCGAGGACATGATTGAAGAGCTCACTGAGCGGAACATGAGCATGTCTGAGCAGATTGAGGAACTCAAGGCCGTTATCGAGGACCTCGAGAATCTCAAGGAGATCAACGACGAACTGGAGATCAACCACGTCCAGAACGAAAAGGAGATGCAGGAGGAGCTCGACTTCAAGGACAGCGTCATCACGGAGCAGGCCCGACGGGCAGCCGAGCAGGAAGAAGCACTGGAAGACATGGAGTACACTTTGTCCCGCTTCAGAGGCCTGGTCACCAGCCTGCAGAGCGACCTCGAGGACATGCGGGCGTCGCACGCCGTCACCGAGACCGAGTCCGAGCAGCTCAACAGCAAGTCCCGCGCCATGATGGACCTGAACATGAAGCTCCAGATCTCCGCTTCCAAGGCCCAAGTCAAGACCATCGACCTGGAGCTGCGGCGCCTGGAGGCTCAGGAAGCCGAGCAGCACTTGGAGATTGTAAAGATGTTCCTTCCCGACACCTACAAGGAGGACCAAGATTCCGTGCTCGCTCTGCTGAGGTTCAGAAGACTCGCCTTCAAGGCGCAGCTCCTGCAGTCGTTCATCAAGGATCGCGTCAACGGCCAACCTCAATCCGGCCACGAGGACGACATCTTTGCCGGTTGCGACGCCATCGACAAGCTCACATGGGTCGCTTCCATGTGCGAGCGGTTTACCAACTCCATCAGCCACTGCTCGATTGAGCAGTTCCAGCGGTTCCAGAACGCCCTGTTCGAGCTGGAGCCGGTGGAGCGGGCATTGAACGGATGGATCGACGGCCTGCGCCGGGACGAACTTAAGGAGCAAAAGTGCGCGGACGAACTGCAGCGCACGATTGCCCTCATGTCTCATCTCGCCGAGGTGCACCTCACCAACGAGCTGCCCGATTTCGCCGAGGACACTTACATGCAGACTGTCATCATGCAGAGCCACTTGGAATCTGCTGGCTCGACATTTGCCACCCTGAGAGCCATGGTCCAGACGGTCATTCCTGCCGAGTCCGAGGAGGACGAGATGGCGCAGCACTTCAGCAAGAAGTCGGAGTTTGTCGTTAACCAGACCCGGAGCGCCAAGGTCATCGCCGGCAAGGCTGTACGAGCCTTGCAGGACCTCAAGTCCAGGTCCCTGGCGCTGCCGCAGGAGACCAAGGAGTCTTTCGAGCAATGTCAAGATGCCACCCGCCAGCTTGCTGCTCTGGCCCGGGAGATTGGTTTCGAACTGCACGCGCTTCTGCACGAGGAGGGCCGCACCGAGCCCTACACGTATCGCGAGGTCCAGGACACCATCTCAAAGGCCACCACCAAGGTTACCATGTCGAGCGAGTCTGACTTCTTCTCAACGTACTTGTCAAAGCTTCGCACCCTCACCAGCCAGATCTCGGACCTGGCCGCGCTCAGCGTGGACCTGTCCCAGACGCAAGAGTTCGAGGTCAGCCCCGCCCCCTGGAAGCTCCGCGCCCAGGAGCTCAAGGCGACCAAGACGATTCCTGTCGATGCGGAGGAGGAGTTGCGCCGCCTTAAGGAGGAGCACAACGAGGCCCGCCGGGCGATTGCGCAGCGCGACGAGAACCTAAGCACGGCCAACCTCAAGATCGAGACGCTCGAGTCGCGGATGAAGGACGCTAATGCCAAGGCTTCCCGCATCGAGGACCTCGAGGCGCAAATCGAGGCCGCCAAGCAGAAGGCCGCCAGCCTCCAAGAAGACATTGACAAGCAGGACCGCGAGCTCAAGACTCTGGAGACGGACCGCGACAAGTGGAAGAAGATTGCGGGCGACAGCAAGGTGTTCACGGACGGTGCGGGCGCGGCGGGCGCCAAGGCGGGCCAGGAGCGGGCGGTGGCGACGGCGCGCGAGATGGACGCTCTCAAGAGCGAGATCGCGAGCCTGCAGGCGGCCGTGCGGTATCTGCGCGAGGACAACCGGCGCGCGAGGACGACGGAGCAGCACAACTACGACTGGCTGGCGGAGCCGCTCACGAAGCCGCCGTCGGTCGTCGAGCAGCGCCGCGCTCTCGTCGTCGCCGAGGGCAAGGACGCGCTCAGCGAGCTGGTCAAGTTCGCGACGTCGGCGCGGGTGTACGACCTCGCGGCGCTGCCCGAGGACAAGCTCGCGTGGAGGCCCGCCCGCAGCACGCCGCAGTACCACGCGGCCAAGCAGAGGGAGGACCTCGCGGCGTGGACGAGCTGGCGGGACTCGGTGCTCAAGAAGTCAGAGGTGGTGCTGGGCCGCAAGGACACGGCGGCGGAGAAGCGGCAGATGATGAAGAAGAGCGTGGCGGCGAGGTTGCAGATCCGTCTGCCGGACGCGGACGGCAAGACAGTGCCTGGGGGCGGGCGGGACGTGCAGATTGTGGGATCGCGCGAGTGGGAGGGGATGCAGGGCCGCCTGGCGGCCGCTATATGATTTCTCATGCGATACGGGACGGTGCTTCCGTGGCAGTAGGACTAGTTTGGCTGCTAGATACCCCTCCACCCACCCAATATCTTATCTTTATTCCAGCAATCCTTCCCCTATCCCCTCCTATGCTGACTCGGGCTTCCTAACGTCTTTCTGTACGGCTCTCCTTTTATTGATCCTTTTACACGTCTTCTTGTGCCTCCGTGACGTTGGCCGGTCCCGCTCGTCCGGGTTAGCCATTTGTGGCATGCCAGTGCTGTTTACTTTTCTTTTCTTTTCTCCCTCTCTCTTTCAAAAACCACTTGAGAAGAAAAAGTAAACCCCGAGGTTCGGATATGCTGCAAGTCCCCATCCATCCTCGGCCGCTGACTAAAAAGCTCAGTCCTTTGGTGACGCCGAGGTCCCGGATCATGCCTTGCCCTTGCCCTTCTTCTTCTTGCCCGCCTTCTCCTCCGCGCCGCCGCCGCCGCCGCCACCGCCAGCCTGCTGCATGAGCGCGGCCATGGGGTCCCCGCCGCCCTGCATCTCCTTCATCATGTCCTTGAACAGGTTCTCGCTGACGCCGCCGCCCGTCATGGCGGGGCTGATGTACGGCAGCAGCTCGCCCATCTTCCAGCCGCGGGGCACGGCGGGCCTCGGCCAGGGCTTGCTCGGGTCGGGGGCCGGGGCGCCCTGGACGCGGGCGCGGAGGGCGGCGCTCTGCTCGGTCGTCGGGTTCGCCTGCAGGTGGCGCGCGACGAGGACGAAGAGGTGGTGCTTGTTCTTGATGTCGGGCATGCCGGGGGGCCGCTGGCCCGGGGCGGCGGCGCCGCCGTCGCGATAGTGATAATGAGATCAACGCTATTATATGTTATAGCGAGATATAATGTTTTATTCTACATAAG